CAGGTGTGTTGGCAGGTGCCTGTAATCCCAGCTACTCGGGAGGCTGAGGCAGGAGAATCACTTGAACCCTGGAGGCAGAGGTTACAGTAAGCCGAGATCGCATCACTGCACTCCAGCTTGGGCAACAAGAGCGAAATTCCATCTCGGAAAAAAAAAATAATAATAAATACAAAAAATGAGCTGGGCATGGTGATACAAAAGTAATGCAGTTTTGCTAATGCTTTTAATGGCAAAAACCACAATTACTTTTGCACCATCCTAATAGTTCTTTAAGGTTGGCAAGGTGGGAATTCACATCCCATTTCAAGGATGAAGTACACTGAAGCTCAGAGCACTGAATGATTTTCCCAGGCCCCCCTGCGGTGTAACCCTTCTGAGAAGATCTCATCAGAACTTCAACTCTGCCCACCACCAATAAGAGAACAGTAAGAGCTAACATTTATGGAATGGCTCGCCTGGTGCAGGCAGTGCTTAGCGCCTCATATGTGCTCCACATCAGCAGGTGGAAAGGAAGTGGTTATCTTTACGCACTGTTGGATTCCCAAGGATGTCAGTCCAAACGCGCTTGAACCATGGCCCTAGATGAAAACAGCTGACCCCATTTTTCCACCCAAATGTTGCCTTTTTTGGCCTGCCCTGCCCTATCCTGTTCCCATAAAATACTTCAGGTGGCAGAGCCACACAAGCTAGGTGAGCTGTAAGCAGAGAAGCACCTGAGCGTCAGAGACTACGGATAGATGCAGCTAACTTCAGATGGTGCAGCTTCCGAAAGGGGCCCAGCTGGAGATGGCCAGGCTTCAGGGAAAGATCACCTTCCCATCCCCTTTCCAGCCTTCCTTTCCACTGAGAGTCACCCACCGCTCGATAAAGTCTTCCTCATTCATCACCTTTTTTTTTTTTTCTTTTTTGAGATGGAGTCTCACTCTGTCTCCCAGGCTGGAATGTAATGGCACGATCTCGGCCCACTGCAACCTCCACCTCCGGGGTTCAAGCAATTCTTGTGCCTCAGCCTCCAGAGTAGCTAGGACTACAGGCGCACGCCACCACACCTGGCTAATTTTTGTATTTTTAGTAGAGGCAAGTTTTCACCATGTTGGCCAGGCTGGTCTCAAACTCCTAACCTCAAGTGATCTGCCCACCTCGGCCTCCCAAAGTGCTAGCATTACAGGCATAAGCCACTGCGCCCGGCCATTCATCACTTTTCAAACAGTTCATGTGACCTTATTCTTCCTGGATGCTGGACAAGAATCTGGGTGCCAAGAGGGCAGGGGCTCCCACTCTGACCCTCCACTGAGCTGGTTGGCACTTGGCCACCCCTGGATGGCAGGACTGAAAGAGCATTGTTTGTAACATGCTTGGACGCTGTGCGGGGCCTGCACAGAGCCTGCTCCAGGCAGAGAGGAGCGAATGGCCTGTTCCAGCATTAGTCCCCTCCACACTCATTCACTCACACTTTCCCTCCCATAAGGAGTGGCCAGTGACAGGCTGAGTGCAACAAGCCACTCAGTTCCCACTTGTGAAGGGGGTGGAGGGAAGTATCCCATCTAAGAGACATGTAGGGTGAGGTATGGGGGAAGGGGTGCAGAGCTTCCACGCCCTCCCTGGGCCCACCACCCTCCAGGAAGCTCCAGTGTTCAGCGATCCAGAAATCCAGAAGCTCACTGGGCCCTGTCCTCTTGGGGCTTGTTTTGTTTTTGAGACAAGGTCTTGCTCTGTCATCCAGGCTTCAGTGTAGTGGCGCAATCTCGGCTCACTGCAACTTCTACCTCCCAGGCTCAAGCCCTCCTGAGTGGCTGGGACTACAGGCGTGCACCACCAGGCCCAGTTGCTTTTTTGTATTTTCCATAGAAATGGAGTTTTTCCATGTTGCCCAGGCTGGTCTCAAACTCCTGGCCTTAAGCAATCCACCTGCCTTGGCCTCCCAAAATGCTGATTAGAGGCTGAGCCACCAAGCCTGGCCTCTTGGGTTTTTATGGAAGCCTCATGATATCAGCCTTCCTTCCCCCACGGTTGTGGTCTTCAGACTCACAGTCATGAAATTAGGGGAACATTCAAGTGAAAGGAGGACAGGAGAAGGTCAGAGGCCTGCCCCTGAGGCCTAACACACCCAACGTTCTAATGTTCTAACAAGACTGTAAGAAGGGCTCTGGGAGTATGAGCCAGGAACAGCCCAACGAGTTCACCTTGCCTGCTGCCTAGACTGAGCCCATTAGTCAAGACCGGTACTGCAATAGGGAAAGTAATTCACGCAGAGCCGGCTGTGTGGGAGACCAGAGTTTTATTATTTCTCAAATCAGTCTCCCCAAGCATTCAGGGATCAGAGTTTTTAAGGATAATTTGGTGGGTGGAGGGGCCAGTGAGTTGGAAGTGCTGACTTGTTGGGTCGGAGATGAAATCATAGGGAGTTAAAGCTGTCCTCTTCCATAGTCAGTTCCTGGGTGGGGTCCACAAGATCACATGAGCCAGTTTATTGATCTGGGTGATGCCAGCTGATCCATCAAGTGCAGAATCTGCAATATATCTGATCTTAGGTCTTAACAATAGTGATGTTATCCCCAGGAGCAATTTGGGGAGGGTCAGAATCTTGTAGCCTCCAGCTGCCTGACTCCTAAACAATAATTTCTAATCTTTCGGCTAATTTGTTAGTCTTACAAAGGCAGTCTAGTCCAGAGGCAAGAAGGGGGTTTGTTAAGGGGAATGAGCTGTTAATCATCTTTGTTTCAAAGTCAAACTATAAATTTAAGCTCCTCCCAAAGTTAGTTTGGCCTATTCTTAGGTTTGAACATGGACAGCTTGGAGGTTAGAAGCAAGATGGAGTTGGTTAGGTCAGATTGCTTTCACTGTCTCAGTTATAATTTTGCAATGGCAGTTTCAGAACCATAGATGAAAACCAATATATATCATAACACCACACAGACTACGCTGTCAGAGTTACAGTAAATCAAAGGAAAGCGAAGATGGAAGATTTAGTGCTGCACTGTTCAATATGGTAGCTGCTAGCCACATGTGACCATTGAGCACCTAACATGTGGCCAGTCTAAACTGAGATGTGCTATAAGTGCAAAAAACACAAGAGTTTTAAAACTTGGTACAAAAATAAGATTGTAAACATATCTCATTAATTTTTACACTGATTACATGTTAAAATAATAATGTTTTGAGTATGTTAGGTTAAATAAATTAGTAAAATTAATTTGGTGGGGCACAGTGCCTCAAACCTGTAATCCCAACAGTTTGGGAGGCTGAGGCAGGCGGATCACCTGAGGTCAGGAGTTCAAGACCAGCCTGGCCAACATGGTGAAACCCCACCTCTACTAAAAATACAAGAAATTAGCCAGTTGGGGTGGCTCATGCCTGTAATCCCAGTTACTCAGGAGGCTGAGGCAGGAGAATCGCTTGAACCTGGGAGGCGGAGGTTGCAGTGAGCCGAGATTGCGCCACCGCACTCCAGCCTGGGTGACAGAGCAAGACTCTGCCTCAAAAAATAATAATAATAATTTCACTTGTTTATTGTTTGTTACTTTTTTAGTGTGGCTACAAAAAAATTTTAAATTACATCTGAAACTTACATCATATTTCTATGAGACAGGGCTGGTTTGAAATAATGATCAATCACATTTTTGTTTTTTTTGTCTTTTTTTTTTTTTTTCCAAGGCAGGGTCTCACTCTGTCACCCGGGCTGGAATACAGTGATGCGATCTCAGCTCATGGCAACCTCCACCTCCCAGGTTCAAGCGATTCTCCTGCCTCAGCTTCTTGAGTAGCTGGGATTACAGGCATGTACCACCAGGCCTGGTTAAGTTTTGTATTTTGTGGTAGAGGTGAGGTTTCACCACGTTGGCCAGGCTGGTCTTGAATTCCTAACCTCAGCTGATCCGCCCGCGTCGGCCTCCCAAAGTGCTGGGATTACAGGCGTGAGCCACCGCACCCAGCCTATCAACATGTTTTAGATGCTTAACTAAATGCTAAGCATGTTATGTGTTTCATTATTTAATATTTATGTAGTCTTCACAATTTCATTATTATTCCATTTTACAGGTGAGGAAGCCATGGTTTAAAGCAGAGATCACCAACTGCTGGACCACAGACCTGCACCAGTTCACGGCCTTTTAGGAACTGAGCCACACAGCAGGAGGTGAGTGGCAGCCAACGGAGCATTACCACCTGAGGTCCGCATCCTGTCAGATCAGTGGCAGCATCGGATTCTTATAGGAGCACAAACCCTATTGTGAACTATGCATGCCAGGGATCTAGATTGCACACTCCTTATGAGAATCTAATGCCTGATGATCTGAGGTGGAACAGTTTCATCCCAAAGCCATCCCCAGCAATCCAGTTCTTGGAAGAATTGTCTTCCACAAAATCAGTTCCTGGTGCTAAAAAGGTTGGGGACCACTGGTTTGAAGGACTTAGGCACATAACTATTAAAAAGGATAAGTGAAATAAGCCAGGAAAGACAAACTTTACATGTTCACGCTTATTTGTGGGATCTAAAAATTTTAAAACAATTGAACTCATGGAGATAAAAAGTAGCCAGAGGGTTACCAGAGGCAGGGAAGGGCAGGCAGGGGTGGGTGGGAAGTGAGGATGAAGCAGGAAATTTCCCTGACCCCTTCACTGGTGGGAACCGGAGTGCACGGGCACTAGAACTAGCTGGCCGCTAGGGTACCGGCGCCAGCAAGGACAGACTCCACTGGCTCAGTCCTGCTTTGTTCCACCCCTTGCAGGAGGGGAAGCACAGGTGAGTGAGTGCAGGAGCCAGGGCGAGCACTTTTGGGTGCCAGCAGAAGCAAAGCTCTGTGTAGTACCGCGGTAGCGTCTAGGGAGATGCCCATGACCCCTGAAACCCCAGAAAGAGTTACAGTCAGCGCTCTTTTAGCTTAGTCATCCACAGACGGCTTAAGTGTTAACAGCTCAGTGGAGGGTCAGTGTGACAGTCTTTTGCACCCGCACCTGAGTTCCTGTCCGGCATCCAGGAGGAATGAGGTCACACAAACAAATTGGAGATGGTAAGTTCGGGGGATTTTATTGCCAATGAAAGTGGCTCTCAGTGGGAAGGGGAGCTGAAATGGGGATGGAGTGGGAAGATAACCTTCCCCGGAGTCCAGCCATCCCCCACCGCACTCCTCTCCGAAGCAATGTTGTCAAGCCATCCCTCTGAAGTCAAGCTGCTTCTCTCTAACGTCCAACCATAGTCTCAGACATCCCGCTGCTTCTCCTCTTCTCCTCTTCTCTGCTGGCAGAGCCTGGGGTGTTTATGGACAGAGGATGGGGGCAGGGCGGGCCATGAGTGGTTTTATAAAAGGCAACATTTGAGCAGGAAAACAGGAATGCATGTTCTCACTTAGGGCCACAGTTCCAGGCTTGAGGATGGGGCCCTCACCAGGGACCTGCCCTCTTCTGCCCAGAATTTCCCTGCCTCCTATCCCTATCAGAGATAATTAATGGGTACAAAAAATAGTTAAAGTATGAATAAGATCCTTATTTGATAGCACAACAGGATGACTTATAGTCAATAATAATTTAACTGTATGTTTTAAAATAATTACAGAAGACTGGGCACGATGGCTTATACCTGTAATCCCAGCACTTTGGGAGGCCAAGGCAGGAGGATTGCTTGAATCTGGGAGTTCAAGACCAGCCTGGGCATCATGGTGAAACCTCATCTGTACAAAAAATACAAAAATTAGCCAGATATGGTGATAGGCGCCTGTGGTCCTAGGTACTCTGGAGGCTGAGGTAAGAGGATTGCTTGAGCAAGGTCAAGGCTGCAGTGAGCCATGATCACATCGCTGCCTTCTAGCCTGGGTGACAGAGAAAGATCCTGTCTCAAAAAATAAAAAAATAAAATAACTAAAAGAGTGTAATTGGGTTATTTGTAACACAAAGAATAAATGCTTGAGGTGATGGACATCCCATTTACCCTGATGTGATTATCACACATTATATACCTATATCAAAATATCTCATGTACCTGATATATACACCTACTGTATATATATACCCACAAAATTTTAAAATGTACCCACAAAAATTAAAAATTAAAAAAGATGCATTAAAACTATACATATTAGGATAGAAAGTGTCCATAATAAACTGGGTTTTTTTGGTGTTTTTTTTTTTTTTTTGAGATGGAGTCTCACTCTGTCACCCAGACTGGAGTGCGCGTGGTGCAATCTCGGCTCACTGCAAGCTCCACCTCTGGGTTCATGCCATTCTCCTGCCTCAGCCTCCCAAGTAGCTGGGACTACAGGCACCTGCCACCACACCGGGCTAATTTTTTTGTATTTTTAGTAGAGATGGGGTTTCACCATGTTAGCCAGAATGGTCTTGATCTCCTGACCTCATGATCCACCCGCCTCGGCCTCCCAAAGTGCTGGGATTACAGGCTTGAGCCACCGCGCCCAGCCAATGAATTGTTTTTTTTTACAATTATCGCCCATTATCAGAAAAATAAAATATACCTATATCATTTAATAAAGAAATTAAGTGTCTTGCCCAAGGCCATCTAGCCAGATAGCTGTACAGCCGGGACTTGAACCCTGGGCCTATGGTGACTCCAAGTTCACCCTTTACACCATGAGAACCAACAAGAGACTTTGGAGGACATAAGAGGCAAACTCTCACTCATGTCAGGTCTTCTTTTTGCAATATCCTTGGAAGGTGGCCAGCCAGCATCTACTTGAATACTTCCAACAACAGGGAGCTCATTATCTTTCTGGCAGCATGCTCTACTGTTGGCAGCTGGTTATTAGAATTTTCCTCCATCAAATGAGGAGAAATCTGTGCATTCTAATATCTGATCTTGAGTTCTGGATCCTCATGGAGGAGATGGCCCCGTTCAGCCAGACCAAAACTGGGCTGGCTTGCACTAGTCCCTAAAGAGAGACTTCAGGAGTGGGTCCAGCAGGTTCCACACTGCTTCATGGTGAAGGGAACACGAATCCATCCTGTATCTCACTCCTCTCACCTCCACTGACCAGCACTTCCTGCAGACTTGCCCAGGTAAAGCTTGTCTGCTGTGTGTACACTGCTTCCATGATGGGGCTTTGGGGCCTCAGCTGCAGAAATGCCTGAATTTCCATTCATGGTAGGGCCTCCCACCCTTGAAAGAATAATTATCTGCCTGCTGAGCTGATAGGTTCCCATCTGATGAGGGCTGAATGCTGTAGCTTTAGAAAAGACACCAGAAAAGGCAAGCTCCTGAACTGGCTTTGACAGATTCCCCCAGCTACTCTAAGGAAAAAAAAAAAAAAATGACTGAGGTGGGTGTGGGATGGAGGGTTGGGGAGAAGGCCTAGAAAGGAAAAGAAAATGAATATGGGATGCTAATGAGTTCCTGTGATCTCACTGTCTCCTATTCCAGCACATGCTCCTCTGCAGAGTGATGGGGCTGCCTTGCCAGCTGGAGCCTGAAACTGTGCCCAGGTAGACAGAACCCCGAGTCCCAGGACAGCCTGGGAAGTGTTGGCTGCCTGCTAATGGAAGAATGTCCAGGATGGAAAAAAAGAGGCTGGACCTGCAAATGACATTGTATTTCAGGTATCTGCTTTACTGGTCTGCCCCTCCCCACCTCTGTAGCTCCCTCACAGTGACAGCAGAGCTGTGAACCCAGGAACAAACCCCACCATTGCCCCGTCCTCTCTCATCTCTACTTTCCACATTGAAAAATAATAAAAGAGGCCAGGCATGGTGGCTCAAAACACCTATAACACCAGCACTAGGAGGCCAAGATAAGAGAATTGCTTGAGGCCAGGAGTTCAAGACCTGCCTGAGCAACATAGAGAGACCCCCTGCCATCTCTGCAAAAACTAAAAATTAGCTGGGCATGGTGGCATGCACTTGAAGTCCCAGCTACTTGAGAGGCTAAGTCAGAAGGATTACTTGAGCCCAGAAGGTTGAGGCTGTAATGAACCATGATTGTGCCACTGCCTTCCAGCCTGGGTGACAGAGTGAGATCCTGTCTCTAAAAAATAAATAAGGTAATAATAATAAAATAAATGCCCTCCAGGAGTTTCAGTAAAGAGTCTGAAGTATATAATTTGTACTTGTACCTCAGTCCAGCCTTCTGCCAGTAACCATGATTGCAGGTTGATCCCAAAAGTTGGTGTCTTCATCTGTTTTATGCTACTATAACAGAATACCACATGCCGGGAAATTTATTAGGAATAAATATGTACTTAGCTCACAGTTCTGGAGGCTGGGAAGTCCAAGAGCATGGCACCAGCATCTGGGAAGTCCAAGAGCACGGCACCAGCATCTGGTGAGGTCCTTTGCGCAGCTTCATCCCATAATGAAAGGCAGATGGGCAAGAGAGCACAAGAAGGGGCAAGCAAGAGAGGGCCAAATTCGCATTTATAACAACCCACCCTCTCAATAGCAAACCCACTTCTGCAGTAACAACATTAACCTATTCATAAGGGTGGAGTCCTCATGACCTAATCACCTCTTAATAATCCTACCTCTTAGAACCATCACAATGGCAATTAAATTTCAACATGAGTTTTGGAGGGGACATTCAAACCACAGCTGGTACAGTTTATATAGCTAGCATGGTTAGGCTCAAATAAAGCTATCATAGGATTATTGATTGCCAATCATGTTCCAGGCTATGCCTTAAGTGCTTTGTATACTTGCAACACATTTGTGAGCTGAGAATTATTCTTATGAGCATTTTCCAGATGTGGAAACAGGGTTCAGAAGACTTAAATAGGAAGGTCGCCCAGACAAAACATAGTAGGAATTTGAACCCAGAGGGAATTTGAACCCAGGGCTGTTCTGCTCTAAAATCTGTGCTCTAACAACAAAAAAAAATTCTGTTATGGCAAATTTCTAATATACACAAAAGTTCCACAAACTAGTACCATGAATCACTACATATCTGCCACCAAGTTACAATAACCATCAACACAGGGCCACTCTTGTTGCATCTCCTCCTTTTCCCTAATTTTTTTTTTCTTTTTTTTTGAGACGGAGTTTCACTTTTGTTGCCCAGGCTGGAGTGCAATGAGGTGATCTCTGCTCACTGCAACCTCTGCCTCCTGGGTTCAAGCAATTCTCCTGCCTTGGCCTGCAGAATAGCTGGGATTATAGGCGCCCACAACCACACCTGGCTAATTTTTGTATTTTTAGCAGAGACGGGGTTTCACCATGTTAGCCAGGCTGGTCTCAAACTCCTGACCTCAGGTGACCCGCCCTCCTCAGCCTGCCTAAGTGCTGGGATTACAAGCATAAGCCACCGCGCCCAGCCTACTTTTTGTATTTTTTTTTAGTAGAGACAGGGTTTCACCATGTTGACCAGGCTGGTCTCAAACTCCTGACCTCAGGTGATCCACCTGCCTTGGCCTCCCAAAGTGCTGGGATCATAGGCATGAGCCACCTTGCATGGCCAATTAAGTCATTTTTAATGAACATTAGATATCATGTCATTTCACCCATAAATAGTTCAACATATATCTCTAAAAGATAAAGACATTCTTAACCCCCTCAAAATAATAACTTTTGGTGAGAGATTACCAAGAAAATGTCCTGTTGTTCTTTCAAACAGGAAAATGGCAATATTTGCATTGCCCCCATAGGAAGAAAGCATTTCTTTGGATGTCTTGTGGCATTTTAGCATAACATTGCGGGGGACATAGTCATTGTCTGCTGAGTCCAGGAATGCCCATTGGGCAGCCCCTTAATCACAAGGATCTGCTCACCTTGCCCCGTGGAACAAGTTTTCTACATGTTACCCCTAAGTAACATCAATGGATCCATAAAGAAAACCTGCTCACGCCTGTAATCCCAGCACTTAAGGCGGGCAGATCACCTGAGGTCGGGAGTTCAAGACCAGCCTGACCAACATGGAGAAACCCCATCTCTACTAAAAATACAAAATTAGCCAGGCGTGGCAGCGCATGCCTGTAATTCCACCTACTCGGGAGGTTGAGGCAAGAGAATTGCTTGAACCCGGGAGGCAGAGGTTGCAGTGAGCTGTGATCGTGCCATTGCACTCCAGCCTGGGCAACAAGGGCGAAACTCTGTCAAAAAGAAAAGAACAGAACAGAACAGAACAGAACAGAACAGAACAGAAAAGAAAAGAAAAGAAAAGAAAAGAAAAGAAAAGAAAAGAGAAAAGAAAAGAAAAGGAAAGGAAAAGAAAGAAGGAAGGAGGGAGGGATGGAGGGAGGGAGGGAGGGAGAGAGGGAAGGAAGGAAAGAAAGAAGGAAAGAAAAAGACCTGCTGGAAACCAGATGTAACCGGCTGTGCTGTCTCAGAACCTGTTACATGGTTCGCTGGTGTGTGTGTGTGTGTGTGTGTGTGTGTGTGTGTGTGTGTGTGTGTGTGTGTGTGTGAGAGAGATAAGATTCACATTTACTGACCATACCTACATCTCAGACATTAAGCTAGGTGCTTTCAGATGTGCCAAGAACCTAACACTCAGGTTTTAAAATTTTGATTAGATTCTTGTAGCTCAGATTCCCATTTGGTTCAAAATTCCATTCTGTGCTGGAATATTATGGAAGAGAAGATACTCCCTTCAGAGGCTAAACCTATCAATCAACAGCATTTCTTAGAGAGATAGAGAGTGTGTGTGAGTGTGTGTGTGTGTGTAAGCCACCCTGAGAGGCACCCTGGAAA